AAAATGGAAAGTGTTAGCGAAGCGTCATGGGAATACATTTGATCAGCGCAGTAGCCCAAAAAGTAGCTAGTTATTTAAATTTAATCGATGCAAGCGCATACACGGGTCACTCTTTACAACGAACTTCAGCAACACTTTTAATTGATGGAGGCGGAAATCTAGAATGCCTCAAACGACATGCGGGCTGGAAATCAAGCACGGTTGCCGAAGGATATATAGAGGATTGAATACGAAATAAGAACGATAATGCTCAAAAAATTTTAAACCCTTATGATTCGCCAACATCGGGAATGATTGCTGAAAGTTGTTCTCGACCATCAGTATCATCAACAATTACCAATGCGTATCAAGAGTCGGGAACATTTCTGCACGGTTTTAATTTTGAAAATGCCTCATTAACTAATTGTACTTTTAATATTACTATAAATAAAAATGATGTTTAATTGTTGTTAATGACATTTGTATTGTTACTTTGTGACATGTTTCATATTGTTGCCATAACAACATTTTTCCCTCCGCCGTAAAGAAATGAAAAAAAAACTGCTGCCGGCCCAGACATCAAACTTTGACAGGATCAAGTTAGATAATTAATGTTATCATTATTTGACGTTTGAAGAAAAAATACATTATGCAGCCGCTGCAATTATTTTTCTAACGCGCCATGCAAGTAAAAACAATATAGGTAATATTTTATTTAAAGGCTACATAAAATTTCAATTAATAACGAAATTATATTCAATAACAACTAAGCATGTTTGTAGTCAGTATATGTTTCATTGACTTGTTAGATAAACTTCCAAATATCTTCTTCTTCTTTTTATATAGACCTATTATGTTTATGTTCCATCGTTTTTGTGGTTCTCCCACTGATTGCCTTTTTATTGGGCATTGTAAAACAAAGGCATATCTACATAAATAGAGGAAGAAGATGAATAAGAAGAAACAAAAGTAAAAGATGAAGAAGAAGAAACACCTTTGTTTTGACGTAAGATAATAATAAAAACTAGAATTCCATAAGAAAATAGCTTCTAAACAATTTTAAAAACATCACTGGAAAAAATAAGACGTGAATTATCACTTACTCATAATATCCCTCACAAAAAAAACTTTTTTAAACTAGACTTATATGAAGACCTACAAACTATTAAATAACAACAGAGAAGTGCAAATTGTGTTAATCGTCATATCTCATTCAATCGAGACTTCCTTTCACTCCATAGTCAACTATTCTCATAACCCACATCCTCACTTTACTTCTTCATTAGTATTTAGATTTTTCGTTCTTCTCTTGTCACCTATTAATCCTCCTTAGTTCTCTCAAACATTTTTCAATACATCCAACTCTTCATCTTTCCCTGCTTATTTCTAGGAATCTAAGCGTCAAGTCTCACCCCTATACCTAATATGCCATATAATGTAATGCCTAATATCCATGCTTCATTTCGAAAAACTAAATTCAGAGCAGATTATTCCACTTCCTTTCTAAAATTATTCATTATTATACATCTTCACCTTCTTATCCTCATCTCCTTTTCATTCTGTTTTTACTACACCTTATTTTACTTATCCACTTTTCCCTCAGGGTTTGGTTTCGGATCTCTGGAGACTTCAGCCTCTTGTAGAGTCTTATCCCTTTTCACAACAATATTAAAACATCATATATCTTTAGTTATATTTAACAGAGCCATCTATAACCTAACTACTCTTGCAGTTTTACATATCCTTTCAATACACACCAAAAGCCTATTAACTTCATCTACCTACCTTAGCTCAAAACTTATAACTCTTTCTTTTTATATTTCTCAGGTACCAAATGTTCCTTTTAATATATAGGGCCTTTTTCTTAAGTTATAACTTGAGCAATCAGCCATTTTTCAGCCATCAATTTTCTGTCTGTCTTGCATACGGTCGTGTCAACACACAAAAACAACTTACCATCTTTATTCTTCATACTGAACCAGTAGTTTATGTTCATGAACTTATAACATAAAATTTTTTTTTATATTTATCAGGTACCAAATGTTGTTTTTTGACATAGAGGGCCTTCCATGCGTAAGTTAAGTACTACGTGAACATTACATTACAAAATCATTTTATAATATTTAAATTTCAGCTCAACAGCACTTTCAAACATACCGTTTACTATATCACTCCTTAACAATAAAGTTTATAGAATCCATCTTCCTACATATGTCTATTTTTCCATTATCTAGGTACCAAATGTTGTATAAAATATAGAGCCTTTTGTAAAAATCTTTAGTTAAGAGCCAATAAATTCAGACTTATGTATAGTTGGTTGCCTATCAATACTCACAAAATTGCACTCTACTTTAGTCTATCTACATTAGTTTATAAAACAATTTTTTCAATGTTCTCTACATAAATATAGGACAAATTCACATAACAAACTACAACATTGATGGTTGCTACTGTTATATTATTATAATTTTAACTTATTTAATTTTCAATATTGCTGGCTTCTGTCAAATTTAGACAATTACTGTAAGTTGCACTGACTGCTTTGTTCCGACATCCGTCCTAACCTGTCAATATTGTCATTTTAATTAGTTGCTATCAACAGGTCCTCGTAGACACTTTGTCTCAGGACCAAGTAACCTTATGTAGAGACATACATCGCCATGTTAAAAATTCCACTAGTAACTTAAACGTCTTAACTTTTAAGAACATATAACGTAACAAAAATTTAAATTAACAACATTTAACGGGTTTTTATCCATATCTTTAGTGGTTCAAAACATATATACTTAGTAAGTAAAGTAATTAACCACATTTTGCATTTAGTCAATATTTAAAATTTTACGTTCTTTTTAATTAAAGTTTTTATAAGCTTTCAGGTTACACTGATGATGGAATTTTTATTCCAAAAAGTTCTGTAATTGTAATATAGCTTGTTTGGGTATTTTATTATATACCTTTTATAAAGGATTTTAAATAAAAAAAAATTTTACGTAAACATGTCTAAAAATGAAAAAAATAAATCCCTCTCAACAATTAACTTAAAATGAAAAGAAATATGGAATTTGGAAAATATTTATTTTACTTTCAAATTTAAAAGCAGACGTTCTACAAAATCAAAAACTGTGGTTGTTTTCTTTGATTTCCTTGTACAAAGTTCCTGTGTGTACGTAAGCTTTAACTTAATCTACATTAGATACCCACGTTACTCATTCACCGGTGACAATGTTGCTTTTTTTCGTCATTAAAACGACTTCAACATTCAACACAACGGTATTATCTGGAGGTGTTAGCTTGATGGATAATTCAGTAGAGAAAAAGAAGACAAACGTGGTTGTTAAATTTGAATAATTGCTTATTTACATATCGGGAATACTTCAATATCTCCATTAATGGTAGAAGAAGAAGCGTTAATTTCTCTAAGTGGCAGCGCGTTTGAATGATTTTCGAGCATTTTAATTACGGTAGAAGAAGAGAGACATCGAAGCTTGTTGAGGTGCATAAATTGGGCTTGGTAACACTTTGTGTTTAACTTTGTGTGCCCACGCTAATCTTTTTTACAATATGCAGCTTTTTTGTTCTTGACTGGCGAGTGGGACGAAAACGTAATTATCAAAGTGATAATTGTGGCTCTTAGCAAAAGAGAAACGGGATTGAAAATTGTCAGGAAGAGAAAGCATTTACATTTTACATCTTAAGTAATATTTTTATAATTAACTTTAATATGTTTTGTTTAAAAAAAAAGTACAAAAGAATTTGGCTTTAAGATAAATTTTTTTAAAAAATTAACAAGACTTTAATTAAAAGTCTTTAGTTCCTTTTTTTAAGGATATCTGTCTAAAGCTTTTTCACAAAATTCTTATTTTTCAAAGCTATTTCGTATATTAGTTTAAAACTTATAATATGTCTTATATTATATTTTAAAATTAACGACAACTAAAAAAATCCTATACCAAAGTTGCGTCATCATCAAGCTCTCTTAAACAAGATATGGTTGTCTTTATGTTTCATGGTTTATGCAAAATATTGGCAATATTTTGAATGTGGTTGAAATTTAGGTTTATTAAAGCTTCCAGAATGAGCTAATTCACGTGACAAGAAAGTAACCATTTGCTAAATAGGCTGCATTCGTTTCGATTTTTTAAAGGACCTTGTGAGACACTATATTTTTCGTTGTGTTGCCAGGCACAAGAATGAACAAAGTGAATGGTTTGGCTAAACGTCTAAACCCGGGGTGTCCAACTGGGGGACCGCGGGCCGCATCCGGCCCGCGAGGCTATTTGTTGTGACACACGTAAGATTTTCGAAAAGCATATATTTTCTTTAAATGCTGCCACTGTGAAAAAAGATTTTTTAATTTATTTTATATTTTATGGTTTAGCAGTGTTTTTACATCACAAGTAACCGCTCTGCGGACGTATAACTTACCATCCGTCGCCAGCCGCCATCGTGCCAGTGTTCTACTGACACGTAGGCTAGTCGGCTAATCTATTACGTTGCTAGTGCACAGTGAACTTGATTAATTCTTTGTCTTGATTCCTCTTATACAATAATAAGTGTAAAACCAGTAAAAAGGAAAATTGATAGTGAGAACACTATTTACAAAGAAAGTTGGGAGAGTGATTACTTGATTGCTAACAATAATGGAAAGTTGCAGTGCTTAGTGTGCATGAATGTCGTTTCAGTGCATAAAGAATATAATGTGAAAATACATTACACTACAGTGCATGAAAATAAGTATAATACGTACACAAATTAAAGTCGGCGTGCCCTACGTGCCCTGGTAGGTTTAGTAAAATATTACACTCTCAAACACATTCTTTGCATGCATCTTATGTCGTGTCGCTTCAGCTAGCAAAGGCAAAAAACCTTTCACTGATGGCAATTTGATAAAAAAATGTGCTGTTAAAATGGCCAAAGCTTTCGGTGATTCTAAAATGGCGGGGAAATTTGAATCAGTGCCACTTTCACATCAAACCATACAAAGAAGGATTGTTGCTATGGGTGAGTAAGTAGAAAAATCTATGTTTAGCCTGGTTAAGAAAAGTTCATATTTCTCACTTTGTTTGGATGAAAGCACTGATCAAACCGATGTTAGTCAGCTGTTAATATTTATGCGCACTACTTTTGATGATTTTACCAGTAAAGAGGAGTTATTTGATGTTTGTCCTCTTTATGGAATAACAAAAGGAAAAGACATCTATGAGGCTGTAAAGAAAACAATTGACAGAATTGGAGGCTTTGATAAATGTTTAGCCATAGCAACAGATGGGGCCCCATCAATGACAGGTAAAAAAATTGGATTAGTGGGTCTGCTTCGAGAGAATGGTGTCAATTGCCCAACAATTTATTGTATTATACGTCAGGGAGCTTTATGTGGAAAATCAGTCAAGGAAGATCAAGTTTTTCAAACCGTGATTAAAGGTGGAAATCGATCTCTTTTACACAGGCAACTTAAGCAGTTTTTAGTGGAAACAGAGACTGAATATGGAGACTTGCTAATGTACAACCATATAAGGTTGTACCATAAGCTGTATAACAAAAACCATATGGTTTTTGCCATAAGAAAGGAAATCCCTGCATTCCTCAACAAATACGTTTCATCTGACACAACTGAACTGGAAGAGAAGTTTAAGGATCCAGAATTCTTAAGACAGTTATCTTTTATAACAGATCTGACTAATCATTTTAACATGTTAAACTTGAGTCTTAAAGAAAGAAACCAGACGGTTTCAGATTTGATCGGAATAATAAACGGATTCCGAAATAAGCTGAACGTATTTAAACGTGCTTTGTAAAAGAACAACCTGACACACTTCCCTAGCTGTCTGCAAATAGCAGAAGAATTCAACGGTGAGGAAAATATTGGGTTTTCATCCTGCATTTCACAAATTAAACAAGTTATTGATGAATTCAATACAAGATTTGAAGAAATTGAAAGTCTCAAAAGCAGTGTACTACTTTATAATAACCCTCTTGGAGCAACCATTTATGATCAACCACCCAACTTACAGCTTGAGTTATGTGATCTTCAAGCAGACATGTTCCTAATCACCAGACAAGAAAGAAGACCTCAATTTTTCAAATTACTGTCAAAGGAGAAATTCCCAAACCTGCGAGATTTTGGACTGAACATGACGTCAATGTTCGGAAGCATATATACATGTGAAAGTGCCTTGTCCTCCATAAAATACATAAAAAATAAAAACAGAAACAACCTTACCGATTCTTCTTTACGTCATCTTATGAGAGTGTCTACAACTGAACTGGAGGTGGAGATTTCTTCATTGGTGGATAAAGCCGATCGACCACAGTCCACACTAATTAGATACATCTTTTTCGTTGCTTTTGCAATGTTTGTCTTGATTATTGAAAAGACTTATCAATAAATTTTCCGTTTATAAAACAATGTAGTTATAGCAATAAAAGTAATAATACTCTTTTTTGTTTTAATTATTTTATTTTATTTAATGTTATTACTTGTAACAAAATTATTATATGACCCTCGACAACACCAAAGGTTTTAGTTTTGGACCTTGAGGCATTGCAAGTTGGACGTCCCTGGTCTAAACACAATTGACCATAAGAAAAATAACTATTTTCTATATTCAGTCCACAAACATTTAACGATTGGCCTTTGATTTGTTTATCAACATGGCGAATTAAAGACGAATTGAATAATAAATTCGAATGACATATCCGTCGAATCAGAATGTACGGAGAAGCTATGATCATATAAACGTGTGTTTAAAAAACGACGTCAGTAGGGGTGGCTAACGATCATACCAAAATGGCGGTGGGATCAGAACCAGACTCAATATTATTAAAACTACTAAACAAATATGACTAGTTATTCATAATCTAAACAGATCTAAACAGATCTAAACACGATATATTATACATAAAAAATTAATACAGTTAAATAACAAGTTGTATCTGAAAGAGATAATAATATAAATATTATTTTAAAGGGTAAAATGAATATTCGGTATGAAATAAAAGAAATACGTTAATTTTACAACTTATCTTCTTCTTCTTTCGGTGCCGTCTTCTTAGCGAAGATTGGCGATGACCTTTACAAAGTCTTCCCTATTTTGAGCTTTCCTTATTAAACTTTGAAAGTCTAATCCTGTCCAATCTTTGATGGTGCGAAGCCAGGTCATTTGTCGTCTACCCGGGCCGCGTCTGCCTTCTATTTTCCCTTCTATAATAAGCTGAAGGAAGTTATACCTCTCGTGTCTAAATATGTGTCCAAAATAAGATGTTTTACGCCTCTTGACAATTTCTGTGAGTTCACGTTCTCTATTCATACGCCTTTAAACTTCTTCATTTCTAACGTGGTCGGTCCATGGAATTTTCAGCATACCACAAAATACCCACATCTCAAAGCTCTCTAAACATCGTAACGAGCTGACTGTTAACGTCCAAGCTTCCTCGTCATGTAATAGTACACTATATACATAACACTTTATCATGCGGTATCGTAGGAACAAATTAAGGTTACGGGTAGTGAGTAACTATCGCATAACTAAAATAAATACTTAAACTTTTTCACTTGTTCAACTAGATTTTTGTTTACTAGTATGTTTATAACTGGGGTGTGTTTTTTGAAATTACCATTGTTTTGGTTTTTTTACATTCACCTTAAGGCCGTATAGTTCGTGCAAGTATTCACCTTAAGGCCGTATTTGGAGCAAGGTGTGGTCGGAAGGGACATCTGCACTGGGGTAACTATTTGCGCTTTGTATGCTATATAGGTATCTCCGGTTGATCATGATATAATCTATTTGGTTTCTGACGCAATTTTTATCATTTTCTTGTGGCAATTTCCATGTATATAGTCTCTGCGCAGTAATTTGGACCATGTATTCATAATAGTAATATTTTGTTCTTGGCTAAATTGAAACAGCCTATCGCCTCTTTGATTTCGCTGGCCTAATCCATGTTCTTCAATGATATTTTCAGATCTACATTTTCCCAGTTTTGCATTGAGGTCTCCCATTATTATCGATATTTTATACTTTTCTGTAAGCTGCAATAGTCCTTGTAGGTCTCCGTAGCACTTTTCAATTTCAGTGTCGGGTTTATCAGTTGTTGAAGCATATACCTGTATGATATTGATATTAATTTGACTTCAATGTAATTGTAGAAGTAGCATACGATCCTAGTGGTAGACCACGTTTTTAATGCATTTTCTATACCTTTGCTTACGATAATACCAACTCCATTCCAATGCTGTTTTTGATTGATACCTGAGTGGTATATTGTCTTGTCAATTTTCATCTTTCCTGAATGTGGCCACCTCATCTCACTGATGCCATTACAACTTATATATTTGATAAATACAAATTAACTGACACTTCAGACACAAAATTTAGTTCAAATAACAAAGTTAGAAAAGTTATTATTAAAAAAACAAAATTGAATATTTGCCAAATATCACAATGGAAATACAGTGTAGCAATATAATAATGATGTTGCAGTAGTTAATAAGAATAATATTACCTGTGTAATATAAGCTATTGGAAGAGCAGTGTCTTTCAAACGAATAGAAGAAAGTGAAGTTCTATAATTTTTTTTTTTTCTAAAAAATGCTTTGAACATAAAACACTATATGTATTTGGTTTCTTTTGGAAACCTAAAAATACAATTATATGCATCACTAAGTATTAATATCAAATTTATATTTTAAATAAAACATATGATTATTGAACTAAAAAATATTATAAAAAGTTTACAAATTATTTATTAGTACCTTTATATTCTGTGTATTCATTACTTATATTTTATTGGAAGTGGATGTTTTAATTGCTATTTAAAAACTTTAAAAAAAAATTTTGAAAAATATTCAATAATGACTTAAAAATTAATCGAGAAACTTTTCTAAGTTACTGTAAGATATTTAATGCTCTGATGTACGGGCCATTACTTTGTTTACATATTAGTATTCTAACTAACTAACCTGTCAAACGTTATTTCTGAAGATTTTTTAGTAATATTGCTTCTGTTGCTGCATGTACGTTGAGAACAAGAAACAATTAATATGCACTATCACAATATAGTATAACAGTTTCTATAAAAGTATTATTAAACTAAAAATATTCGAAAAACACCAAACCTAAACAATCATACATGATCTGTCAAAACGATCATAACAATATGGCCGAAGTGAGATCGTTTTTAGTCACGTGATGCCCCTCTCCATAGATTCTAACTCGATGGGCATATCGGTTGGTATCAACGGAATTTTCGGAATGATAACTTCCTAATCCAATCCTTCAATATTCCTTTGAATATTGTCGCATACATGATAATGATTATAAGTTTTCAGAGTACCAAATTCATCTCGTTACTTTAATAGCAACTCTATAAATAGATAGATAGATAGTTTATTTGACTATAATTGTTGTAACAATTAACCTTGTTACAACAAGGTTTACAACAAGTAACATTACAAAATATGGAACAATACATTAAAAATATTTAAATCATTAAATACATATAAAACGTACAAGATAGACATCGTAATATAATTAAAATAATATTAAATTTGGTTAAATAGCAACTCTACACATTTGCGTTTAAGGAACTTCCTATATAACACCAACCAAAAGAATAAACCCAAACGTTATAAAAAACATAAATAATAGGTTTTCTTAAATTTTTTATCTTGTTAGGATGAATGGAATTTCTTCATTTTCCCTCCCCGTGTTTTATTACATAGCGTTGGTTGGTTCAGATTTCTATTAACAATAACGACCGAGCCAATCTTTAGTAGAAAATTGTGCAAGTTATCTATCTTCTTCTTCTTATGACGCCGTCTCCTTTTGAAGGATGGCGTTCTAAATGGCAATTTTAGTTTTGGAAACTGCTGCGTGAAAGATTTCTGCGGATGAGCGGTCGAACCTTCTCCTTAGGTCTTTCAGTTACGAGTTCTGGCGTCTTCCTACTGATCTTTTGCCCTGTACTTTTTCTTCTAGTATAATTTAAAGTAATTCATATCTTTCGCCTCTCAACACATGACCCAAGTATTGCATGTTCCTCTCTTTGATTATTCTTATTAATTCTTTTTGTTTACACATGCGACGAAGTACCTCAACATTAGTAACTATTTGTACCCACAAAATTCTCAACATTCGTGTGTATATATACATCTCAAAAGCATCTATTCTTTTTTCTATTTCAGAGTCCATTGTCCAACTTTCACAACCATACAGTACGACAGAAAAAACGTAACATCTGAATGTTTTCATGAATATTTTCCTTATTTGTTCGATTCTTGATAGGATTTCTATTTTTGGATAATACTGACTGTTAATATTTACTCCCAAATATTTCATGGAATTTAACTGTTCTATTATTTGACCATTAGCATACGTTTGGAATGTACGTTTATTGGTGCCTTAGAAAATACTAAAATTTTAGTTTTGAAAACGTTTAGATGTAAACCGAACATTTCGCTGCGGTGAACTAATGCATTTATTGTATTTTGTAGTTCTTGTGCGTTGCTTGCTATTAAGACGGTATCATCAGCATATCTGATGTTGTCTTGGACCTCGTCTAATGCTTCTCTGAATATAGGGTCCGAATACAAATTAAACAGTAGCGGTGATAAGATGCAACCCTCTC